GCCTATCTTCCTCACTTAAACTGCCGTTGGCAGGGGTGCGAGTCCAATCTCGGTCGTTTTTCAAACTCTAGGCTCCCTCCCCGCAGCTGCCTTGTTGTCGTCGCGCGCGTGGGGGAGGGGCCGACACGCGTGTCCCCAGGTGCCCGATTGCACCGGGAGGGGGGGTTCGGGGGGAGGGGGGAACCTGCAGCGCCTCCGCCGAGGGTGCAAAGGGCGCTGGGGCTGGGAATGCAGCTCTCCCGCCTCCCGCGTCTGGCTCCCCGGAGGGCTCGGGGTTGGATCCGAGGCGCAGAGGTAAGTGCGGAGTTGGGTCGATTCCGTCCGCCTGTCATCGGTGGGGATCGCGGGCGACGGCGGGGGGAGGACGTGGTGAGCGCCCCCGTCCTCGGGTGGCGGGGCTCGCCTTGGGGGCGGGGGCGGCTATTCTAGGGGCTCGGGCCCCAAAGTTGGGGGAGAAGTGGGGTGGCAGCGCCGGCCGAGCGGAGGCTGCGGAGAGCAGGTCTCACGTGGGCACCGCGCAGCTGGTGCGGAAGGGACCGATGCGGACCTCGCCGCTGTCACCTTGAAAGTGACCGAAGGGCTCACTGTAGACTCCGTTCCCTGTAGACAGACAAGCTATACCCTTGGCCGGAAGCCGCCCACCCGACACTAGACCCGCCAGGGCCCTGCAGCCCAGCCCTCTCGCTGGGCGCTTGGCTTGGGCCCATTCTGGGTATCAGTAATCGGGGTTGAAAATGGCATTAATGGGGTTGGTCAGCTCCCCACGGCCGCTCGCCCCGCGGTACTACTTTCTGCGGGTCCCTGGGCTTCTCAGGCCACCAGGTTGGACTCCTCTAGAATGATTAGTGGATGTGTGTGTGTTTGCTTGCCTTCAAACTCTTTTTGTCTTTTCAAGACATACTCTTTTTCTATTAAGTTAGTTGTTGTTTGAGTCGGATTACTTTATTTTGGAGTAAACATGGGGAGATGAATCCTTCATTTAGCCCCCATAGAGTTTCACATACTTTGTTAATACTGCTTCAGCAGTCAGTGGGCTAATAAAGGAAATCCCAGTGTGTTGTGTTTTGTTTGAATAAAATCAAAGTCTTAGGCAAAACGGGGAGGGGTGCCGGCAGATGAAAGCTGGGATGAAAGCCTTCATGTTTTGCCAGGTAATGGGGATTCAGTCACCACCACGCTAAGTCCTCAGGCCTGGGCTGGCCGGTGGGCTGGAGGGGTTAGTCTCCCGCTCTGCCGCCACTCCTAGGTGGGTGGGGTGGGGTGGGGAGGAAACCAGAGATTCTGCCTCCTGGGAGCCTGGGACTTCCTTAAGGAGGGTAGATACACCCAGATAACAGTGTTTGGTTAACACTAAAAGGAATCGCATAGTTGGAATTGCAATTCTGTAGACAGACTTCTTTTTCAGGGATAATTAGGGCAGGAAATGATGGGCAATTTAAACAGAAACAATGATGCCCTACTTGTATCGTGCTTTACAATGTGCTTTCATAATTTTTTTCTTAGGTACAATACTCCATAGGAAAGTTATACAAAGAAATGATTAAAAACTACTTATCCTTAAGAAAAACAAAAACACGAGGAGTGGAATTTAGTTTAAAATAATGTATAGTTATACATTAAACTCACACCAACTTTTTCACCTATTCTTTTAAAAATCTGCTTAGTGTGGAGCAAATAGTGCTTGCACACGACCTGCACCTTTTTATTATACATCAGTAATTGAAGGTTACAATTTTGAGTATTTCATAGGATTATAAAATTATAGCTAGATTTCTTTGGGTATTTCTTGGAAACAATACTGCAGTTACTTGATGTAAGCATTTCAAAAGCATGTCCCTCACTGGCCCTATTTTGTTGGTCTTGTTTGTTATGATTTCAAAAGTAATGCATGCTTGCTGTATAAAAATTGGTAGATTCAGAAAAAGTATAAGAGTTAAATAATCCGCCCTGGCCCGTGTGGCTCAGTTGGTTGGGCATAGTCCTGTGCACTGTAAGGTTACAGGTTCCATTCTGGATCAGAGCACATGCTGGGGTTTCTGGTTCAATCCCCAGTAGGGGGCATGCAGGATGTTTTGCTCTCACATCAATCTTTCTCTCTCTCTCTTTCTAAAAAATAAAAATAAAAAAGGAGTTAAATAATCATATCATCCAAAGATAATCACAATATAATAAAGATTTTTTTTACAGTGATAGCATAAATATACAGTTGCATGCTGATTTTTTTACTGCTTAACACATGAAAAGATTCTGATGTTTTCATAGTTCTTCAAGAATATTATCTTAGTGACTACATAATATTATGTAGAAATAACAATTTACTTAACCATTTCCTTATAGCTGAACTTTTAATTTATTTCCTATGATTAAATATATACTGATGCAACCAGTATTCTTTATGAAACTTGATCTACAGAGCATAGTTCCTTAGATGGAGTCCTCCAAACACAGTTGATGATTCACAAATCTCTTTATTATTTATTTATTATTATTATTTTATTGTCTAAAGTTTTACATATGTCTCCTTTCCCCCCAATTGACCACCCCCCCAGCCATTCCCACCCCGGGCAAGCCCCCACCACCCCAGTGTCTGTGTCCATTGGTTATGCTAATATACATGCATACAAGTCCTTTGGTTGCTCCCTAACCCCCCCCCTCCCCTGCCATTTGTCTCTCACAAATCTCTTTATACAGATTGATTATTTGCTTTTCAAAAAAAATGTTATACCAAAGTGTGTACCCACTGGCACTCTATGAGAATACCTGTGTTACAATATTCTTGTTAATACGGGGAAGCATCCTTAAAAGGAAAAATAATTCTTGATAGCTTTATAGGTGAACAGTGCTATCTCAATATTTAAATTTCCATGTCTTTGATTGCAAATAATGTTGGAAAGCAAAACATCTAGTAATTTTTCATTTTTCTTCCCTTTTAGTTGAATGTAGTGCCATTTTTTTTTCTCCTGGGACATTAGCATTTTTCTGTCAATTTATAAGAGCCTTTTATGTCTTGATAATATTGTTTTGCCTTCATATTGCAGCTATTTTTCCCAGTTTTGTCTTTGCTTTATAAAGACACTTAGCACATATTTGTAGTGGTTTTGACTTATAGAAGTTCTATACTTTAATGTAGCCAAATTTGTTGACTTTCTCAAAACAAAATTTTTAACACTCTTGAATCATAGTTTAAGAGCTATGTATGGCAGTGACAGAAGATGACTTTCAAAAGAACCCTCTCCCCCCAATTCTGGTTTAGATTCTTATCAAATCCATTGTCAGAACCTGCATGTCCTGGAGTAGAGATTGCTGCAAAACAGATTGTGTTTGTTGATGAGAAATAGTGTGCATGGTATATACCGTTAGGGATAGCATTCTTGCAGATAAGAACAGAAAAGTTTTAAATTCCAGGGAACGAAAGTCTTTCAGACCTGTTGTTCTGTGGTTATGTAAACCAGGCTCACAATCCGTTTATTTTCAGTAGTTCATCTCTAGTATTACTATTTTGCCAGAATCCTTTTTATATCCATTATTGTAGTTTTGCATTATTGACACGAGTCTCTCCTGCTGTCTAGTCGGGTGTACATATATGTAGTTCATAAGTTTTCCCAGATTGATTTCGAATACTACTTCTAGATTAATCTACTTACTTGAAGAGGAGGAAATGTCTTTTAGATTTCCCAAATGTGACTTACCTTTCCATGCTGTGGAAGCTTCAGTATGCCCTGAGGACTTGTGAGTGGTCTCCATCAGAGCCCAGTCCCTCTCACTCTCCATCTTTTAGAGCCTCAGAATAAGCCAGGGGACCAGTAAGAGCCCGGAGGATGAGGTCAGTGTGTGGTTAGGGTGTTCGGGGACACTTAGAAATGGGCCCAGGCTCTCTGTTGAGGCCATGTGGGTGAGCACCACACTTAGCTGGCCGGTGCGTGGGCAGTGGTGGCCTGTGGCCTGCAGAGAAGTGACTGACAGGATGAGTGACCCCATTCTGGTTTTTTTGTTTGTTTTTTTTAGAAAGAAAAAAGAGGGATTAGAGGATATAGTATGACCTTAGCCAGCCTGACACGTGGTTGAGAAAAGCCTGCTTTGACCAGGCTTCTTTATCCTTGGCCTAGGGCCGTCCAGTATAACCAGGAACTGAATTTGACGTTCAGCTACTGCTTCTAAAAACGTATTTCTAAACCAGCTTTCATAAAACACTGCCCTGATGATAGTTATTTTTTTAAATGACCTCCATCTTCTCTGAAATCAGCAGTTTTATGTGGGCAGTTATCCATGCATGGCTTTTTCTTGTTCACTTGGCTCACGATGAAATGGATTTTTCGCCTTGGGGATGACAGACTTGGGGGCTACTCCTTACTCTGCAGATAGATAACAATAAGACGTCGCTTTCACACACTGTAACCTAAGTTGCTATTTGTGATTGCCCTGATGGCTGACTTTTATGCAGTCAAGGAAGAAATGTTGAGCAAATTTACAGTGTAAACCAAATTCAGTCTAGAGGAACTTTACGTAAGCAAATAGCTTGAAGCAGTTCACAAGTACATATTTGCATATAAATCGTTGATTCCAAAAACCTTACTTTTAGTACATTATAGCTAGTAACTTTTCCTTGGCCTTCAGTTTAAGCTCCATCCTGAAGAGAAATAAAAATGTATTTACTTACAGATAAACTATTTTTAAGTCTTGTTAGTAGACCCAGATCAAAATCGATGAATGTTCTTGTGTGCCCATTACTTACAAGAGTAAAAGAAAGAAAACTCACACATTCTCCCATTACTCGCACCTGGAGATTTCATTTCATTTTGAAGTTGTAAAACTATGAGTTTTAAAGTTGCTTCAGGCCAGGCTGGTGTGGCTCAGTGGTTGAGCATTGACCTATGAACCAAGAGGTCACAGTTCAATTCCCAGTCAGGACATATGCCTGGTTGCAGGCTCAAGCCCCAGTAGGGGGCATGCAGGAGGCAGCCAATCAATGATTCTCCCTCATCATTGATGTTTCTATCTCTTTCTCCCTCTCCCTTACTCTCTGAAATCAATAAAAACATAGTTTAAAAAAAATGAAGTCGCTTCAAGTTTCTCTTGAGGAAATGTGCACTTTTTAGCAGGTTGAATAGATTCCTTTTGAGCAGTGAGAGAAGATGGGCAAGTGCAGGTTATAAGATTCTCAAACTAGCTGGAAAGGGTGAAGGGTCACAAGGAAATGACTTCCAGGTAATGTGATTTTGTCTGAATATTGTGCTAATTTCATGTTTTAGTCGGAGTTGGGCTGAGCAGAAGTGTGGGCCTAGTCAGTCCCCCAC